GCGCCTCTTGCTAAAGTTCCCACACCAGAGCATGCCCAGGATGGGCGCGTGTGCACCTAGGGGTGATGACCCACGACCCCTGCTCCAATGCGCTTTGACACGGGTCTGCAGCTCACATGGGGGCGGGGTACAAAGAGTCACAAAGTGTGGAGTAGGGGAAGACCCTCGTCCCCCGGGTAACCTCCTGCCCTCACCTCTGCTCTAAGGTTAAGACTACTTCCCCTCAGAGGACAGTGTTTCTCAAGGGACTATCCAGCACCTTCTAGACCGCAGCCATTAAATCAAGAATGCAACGATCGTGAGGGTGCCAGCAGAGCTGGAGGCAGGGGATGAGGAGTTCAGGGCACAGGCCAGTCTACACAATGAGGTCCAAGACCAGCCTGGCTTTCACGAGACCATATCTCAAAACATTTAAAAAAGGGCAAGAGAGAGAAAGAGGGTTGACATTTTAGGAGTAGATTATATGGGTATAGAATTACTTATCTCACACATTTTTAAAAAGTCTGTCTTCTTACTTCGTCTTCTAGTTTCTAAGTCACTTCAAGGGCCCAGATAGCTGTAGGCTTGCTTCCTGGTTGCAAGGGACTCTGGGAAATGCAGTCTTTCCCTTGGGTGCGTTGATGCCTCCAAATGATGTCATCATTGATCAGAAAGAATGATTCCCAGGTGGGAAGCAGGCAGCCTCTGCTATGCTGGGTTGAAAATTCCTCCCCAGCCGCACAAAATGACCTCTTTCACCTACAGCCAAGAGGGTGAGAGGCAAGGCCAATTACCCGGTTCCAGAAAGCCTGGGGATCCAGGGATGCCAGCTGAGGCTGTGTGGACTGGGAACTGGATAAGAGGTGGATGCTTAATTAGGCCAACAGGAGGAAAGGGAGAGGGAGGGAGAGGGAAAAGGAGAGGGAGGGGGAGGGGGAGACCTCTAAAGTTTCTAGGTCAAGCTAGATTCTGTATCCTTGGTACAGGGAGGCTCAGGTGTCCCTATGACCAAGTCTCGCATCCCTTTGGACATCTCTAGGCGCCATCTCAAGCCAGTACAGTGTCCTTCATTTACAGTCCATGAAAGAAGCGACAAACACCATGAGATAGGCTTTGTGATGAGGGGAACTTAGCTCTGGGTTTCAAACCTCAAAAAGAATAATAATGAGAATAACATGGTTAGTTTTGTTTTTTTTCACTGCTGAGGAATGAACCTAAGATCTTGTGAAGACTAGGCAAGCTCTCTACCACTGAGCCACACCCCCAGCCCCTCACTGGGGGGTTCTAGGCAGGGGCGCCACCACTGAGCCACGCCCCCAGCCCCTCCCTGGGGGATTCTAGGCAGGGGCGCCACCACTGAGCCACGCCCCCAGCCCCTCCCTGGGGGATTCTAGGCAGGGGCGCCACCACTGAGCCACGCCCCCAGCCCCTCCCTGGGGGATTCTAGGCAGGGGCGCCACCACTGAGCCACGCCCCCAGCCCCTCCCTGGGGGATTCTAGGCAGGGGCGCCACCACTGAGCCACGCCCCCAGCCCCTCACTGGGGGATTCTAGGCAGGGGCTCCACCACTGAGCCACTCCCCCAGCCCCTCACTGGGGGACTCTAGGCAGGGGCTCTACCACTGAGCCACGCCCCCAGCCCCTCACTGGGGGATTCTAAGCAGGGGCTCTAACACTGGGAGCTACACCCTCAGCCTTAGACAAATGTGTTTGTTTTCCATCTGCCTGTGGCTAAAGGCAAACACCTTATTCTGGGTTATGAGCATATTGACAATAGTTGTTGGGGGGAGTTTCCTCTTGTACATTTGTAGCTTCTTCAGCCTTAGGAGATAAGTGCTATGATGGTGCCTATTTTACAGATGAAGAAATACAAAGAGCCCATTTCTCCAACAGAGCAGAGTTTCAACGTTTGTTTTCCATTCTATGGCTCTGTGCTGCCTCAGGAGGACCTGGAAACACTGACCTTCGCCCTCTCCCGGCAGCTGTGGGAACTACAAAAGCAGGAGCAAGGTTTACAATACTTCCAACCCTTGGTTTCCTCACTTGTGACAGACAGAATTGACAGCAGCTATACATAAGAGATGTTATAGGAAATGGTGAGGTAAAAGGACAAAAGTAGCCTGGCCAGGTGTCATAAAAGACCCAAAATGCCAGAACTTGGGAGTTAAGGTGGTAGGGTCAAAAGTTTTATGCTATCTTGGTCTACATGGTAAGAACCTGCTTCAAGGAAAACAAATGAAATGGTGGGCTGCTTGGGGGCGTGGCTCAGTGGTAGAGCCCCTGTCTAGAATCCCCCAGTGAGGGGCTGGGGGGGTGGCTGGGGGGCCGAGCCCCTGCCCAGAAGCCCCCCA